CATGCTGGGAGTTTGGAGTTTAGGGGTCAACGCCTGATGCTGAAGTATGGTTTTGTTTGCGCATGGCGGCGTACCAGGCAGGGCCTGCGGCTTTGAAACAGCATTAAGTGGGCTTCGGGCATTGGTTCAGGCGTAATTAGCAGGCAGATTTGAGCAGTGGCTTTGCATTTTGTTCACGTGTGCCCGCTTGCTGTCCTCTTTGAGTGTAGCTGCACTTATGTAGACTTGGAGAGCCACGGGAAATTGCAAGCTGCAGGCCATTCCTCATCTCCTGGCCTGCGAGGAGTCCACTCGTAAATGAGTCTCGTGATGCACATGGAAGCTAAGGCTGTGCATGTTGAATCGTTCACAAACTCTGACTCTCATGTTCGACTGTCCTCAGGCGGGAACTCACAGCCGAAGACCCGTCCAACAACAGCCCATTTTCCTCAAGTTGATACGTTGAAAGCCCTTGTCCCAGTATGGAGGAACGGCCGCCACCCTCCAGGGATTCCCAGGGGCTCCGGCGTGCATCCGTCTTTTACATGTAAGGGGTAATCAGTTCGCGTGAGCTCTACTACATAAACACGTGACATGGCGACTGCCCAGGATTTCAGGGGTAGGGGCGATGCGCCTCTCACCCCTGCTGGAAAAGATGTATATCGAGACTCTGAGAAGCTTGAAAAAGTTCCACAGCTATACGAGTAGCATGAGCTCCTTACTTACCCACACCTCACTATGCACTGTATAGGCCGAGGTGCCCCCCCCCCGTTCACAAAACGGCACTCGCTAGCATCCTAAGTCTTCCATTTAATTTGCTAAGCCCCCATGTCTAGGAACCAACACGAAACAGGACCAGCACAAGTGACTGGGTCGCATGTCGTGGCATTCAGGGTTGAAGGCTTCAAGCAGAGAGTACTGCGTACAGGGCGTCTCAATTAATTAAGTGAAGCTCCGTTCTTGCATTCTAGTGCTTCGTACTGATCAGGATCGATAACAACAGCTGCTTGTATCTTGCTCCGATGAGAGATTACTGGGGCACCCGTCTCTTGGCACTGGGCGGGCTGAATCGTGTGGCGGGCCGTGGGTTAGTGATCGATACCTGTGCCTTCAAGCATCCTACCCTCAGATACTCTTTTCCAAACATGCAAGCACTCATGCAAGACATCTATGCTTGTGTCAGGAGACGTAAACATGAGAAATGGTGGTTCTGCACAGCGGT